TTTTAAATTTCAAATATAATATTTATTTATTTATTTTTTTTTTTTTTTTATTTACAAATTTACGGCTTCAACAGCTAAGGTTATTAGCCAAACATTTTTTTTTTTTTTTTGTGAGAGACAAAGTACAATATTAGTTTAAAATAAAAGGTTACAAAAATAAGAGAGAGAAAAAAAAAGATAACACAAATATTTTTTAGTTAGATTTACAATTTGAAAAAGAAATTAAAAACTATATTTTGTTTATAAGATTGTCTTTGGTGATGAATTTAATGATTTTTAAAGTAAATTCTTCATTGAGGGCTTCTTTGATGTTAGGTGGGAGGTTGAGAAGTGTACGGGTTGGTTCGAATATTGGGCATTCTTCAAAAATGTGTCTTATGGTGAAACGAGTTTGGCATGTATTGCATATAGGAGGTTGGTCTTTATTGATGAGAAAGGAGTGTGTTAGAAAGGTGTGGCCGATTCTAATACGTGTGATGGCAATGTTTTGACGTCGGCTGAGGTTCGCGGGAGTGTACCTTTGTTTGACTGAACTTTTAATATACTTTAATTTGTTAGTTGGAGGGATAGAGTCCCAGAGGTGTTGCTATGACTTGAAGATTTTATGTTTAACTGATATGGATATGTCGTTGGAAGATATTTTATCGATGGTGTTGTCGAGTATGTTTTTGCTGGCTAAGAAGGCTGCTTCTTCGGCCGTTTCGTTTCCTTTTATGCCTACATGGGAGGGTACCCACATGAAATTGATATTTTTTTTGTTGTTAGTTAGTTCCAATTGGGTAGTTTGGGTGATTTCATTTTTAGGCCACGGGTTTTTTAGAGCTGTAAGGACGCTAAGGGAATCGCTAATGATCAAGAAATTATTCGTAGGAAGAGAGTTTGCTAGTTTGATAGCTTCAAGAATTGCGAAGTTTTCAGCGGTGAATATGTTTGTAATATCCGGGAGCTTGTGTTGAATGATTGTTTGTTTGTGCACAATTTAGAAACCTACTCCATATTCAGAATTTGAGGCATCGGTGTAGATTTGAGAGTGGGTAGGGAAAGTTTTTTGGATAATATCATAGAAGTGGAATATTATTATTTTGTGATTAGTTTCTTGTTTGTTGAGGGAGAGTAATTCTGTTGAAGGCTTAAAGTTCCATAGCCATGGAGGAGTTTTTTGGAAGGTGATTTTATCTTCGACTGAGGTATGAATATTCATTTTATTGCATAAATTGGAGTAGATGTCCTATATTGAAGTGAGTTTTTTTGGAACGTTGCGGTTGATGATTGAGTTTTTATTTTTGAAAAGAGCTGTGTGGCGTATATGATGGGGAGTAGTTTTCCTTTTTATGCAATGTAAAAGCGTGTTTTAGTCTCTTATGAATTGAAGAGGCATTTCTCTTGCATAGCATAGGATGCTTTCAGTGAAACTTGTTCTGAAGGCTCCTATGGAAAGGCGTATTCCTTCGTGGTGTTTAGGATCTAACTTTCTGAGGTGTCTAGTTTTAGCTGTGTTATAAACTTGAGATCCGTAGTTAATTTTTGATAGAATTAATGTTTTGTAAATGTTAAGCAAGGACGTTTTGTCCGCTCCCCATGTATGATGGGCGAGAGTTTTTATGATGTTCATTTTGGTCTTGCATGCAGTTTTTAGATGTTTTAAGTGCGTAGTCCAGTTTAGTTTGCTATCAAATATCATACCGAGTATTCGGATTGAGTTGTGAAAAGGAATTTGAATGTCATTAAGATAGATTTTCTGGGTGATGTATGACTTGAGGTTATATTTTATGCATTTACTTTTGGAAGGGAAAAAAATGAATCCAGATGTGTTAGCCCATTCTTGAAGAGAGTGAAGTGCGTTGTTGAGGAATTCCAGGGTGGTTTTGGTGTTATTTCCACTGCAATAGATGTAGCAGTCATCCGCGAATATTAACTGTTTTGTGGGTTTTTGAATTTGGTGAAAGATGTCGTGTATTGCAATGAGGAACAAGGTTACACTAAGGACCGATCCTTGAGGAAGTCCGTTTTCAGTGGGATATACGTTAGAGAGGTAGTTGTGTGCTTTTACTTGTATTGAGCGATTTGTGAGAAAGTTGTTGAGAAAAGTGAAGATCTGTCCAGTTATACCCCAATTTTGGATAATTTTAAATACTCTGTTTCGCCATACCATGTCGTAGGCTTTTTCTAGGTCAAGAGATATGAAAATAAGGTGTTGATTGGAATTTATTGCGTTGCAGATGTCCGTGTGTAAGGTTATTAGATGATCTAAGGTAGAGTGGTTTCGCCGAAAACCGCATTGATTGTTTGGTAGGAGTTTTGATACTTCAAAATGCCAAACTAGCCGTTTGTTTACCATTTTTTCCAAAAGCTTGCTTAGAGTGCTTATGAGCGATATGGGTCTGTAATTGGATGAGTTAAATCTGTTTTTATCTGGTTTGGGGATTAGGATGATTGTCGCCTTTCACCATGAATCAGGATAAAATCCTTTTTCCCAAATGAGGTTGTATATTTGAAGGAGATGATTCAGACTATTGCTAGGGAGGTTTTTAATAAAGCAGTATGGGATATCGTCTGGTCCGGGACTTTTTCTATTTGAGTTAGACATGGCGTCCAACATTTCGGAGATGCTAAAGGGCATGTTTAAGAGATTTAAATGAGGGTGAGGCTCAATCTTTGGTTGATTGATGATATTATTATCATAGTTGTTTTTGAATGTGATAAAGACCGGGTCGTAGTTTGAGTCACTGCTATTTTTACGGAAGACATCCGCAAAGGATTCGGAGATGTTCGATGGTGTTGAGAGAAAAATATTATTGTGCTGAAGAATCGAGGGAAGGAGGTTGTATGGAATGCCTTTTATTGATTTGATTTTATTCCAGATTTCAGTCGAGGATGTGTTGATATTGATAGAATTAGTATATTTATGCTATGATTCAGTTTTGCTTTTTTTGGTGATGTATCTGGAGTATGCCCTTGCTTTTTTAAGTTCGATATGGTCAACTATAGATTTGGATTTTTTGAATTTGTTGAGACATTTTTTGTAAAGCTTTATCGACTCGTTGCAATCATGGTTCCACCAAGGTACGAGTTTTCTTTTGATATTATTGTTTGTTTTGCCGATTGTCTTTGAGGCGGCTTCTAAAATTAGGTCTGTGAAGTTTTCGACAATAGAGTTGATAGAAGTTTGATTGGTGATGGATTCTATTTTTATTGGATTTTCAATGGTCGATTGTCTCAAGAGGTCGCTGTACAGGACTCAATTTGGTTTTTTCGTATTCCACTTGGGTGGGGAAGGTATGGGTGGAGATTGGTCTAATAATTGTATAGATATCGGCCAATGATCGCTGCAATTGTAGTCAGTGAGAACTTTCCACTTTGTTTTAGGTGCAAGAAAAGAGCTAGTTATTGACAGATCTATGGCTGAGAAGGAATTGTTTGCTATGTTATGTCTGGTAGGTTCTCCGGTGTTTAGGAGGATGATTTGATCATTGTCAAGAAAAAGTTCTACGATTTTCCCTCTGGCGTCCGTGTGATTTGATCCCCAGATAGGGTTGCGACTGTTAAAGTCGCCTAGGAAGAGGAAAGGTTTGGGTAATTGTCTTATTATGTTGTTTAGTTCGTTAAGAGATAGATTGATGCTGTCTGGCAAGTAGATTTTGCAAATACAGATTGGGTTTTTACGAAGTATAGAAACTGCTATGACTTCGAAGGGAGATTGTATAGGAATTTCCTTGCTTTCAGTGAGGTTATCAACATAAATGACGACTCCTCCACTTGCTCAGAGATTGGTTTGGCGATTTTTGAAAAAACCATTGAATCCACGTATTGTGAAGGTAGTGTTAGGTTTTAGGTTTGTTTCTTGGAAACAGAAAACAATGGGTTTGATGGCAGATTTGGCTCGATGGATGTCAGTATAGTGTTTTTGGAGGCCGTTTGTGTTCCATTGAATGATAGAATCCATGATGAAATTAGTATAGAGAAATTGAGTAAGGATTGGTGCAGTGGTTAAATGTATTTGTTTCCTTGAGAGAATTTGTTTGGAGGCGTGTTTAAATGAGAAGGAGTAGCTTGGAATATGAGATTTGATAACTTTGTTAGGCGCGTTTTGAGTGATCTGTTGCTTGCTACTTTTCGAATCTGGTCTAACAGCTCCATAAGGGATGGTATTTCAGTGTTTAAATCTTCAATCAGAGAGTGGATATTTACTGATTTATTATCGAAGTTATTAAGGATGTATTTGAATTGGAAAAAAGTGATAGGTAGGGACTTATTAGTCATGAAAAACTCCACGACTGGTTTTAGATCTTCATCGGTGTTTTTTTTTGTCTGTTTGCTGAGTTGGATCGTGATCGTATTTTGATTTTCTTGGGGGATTTTCCTTTGTCTGGAGTGGTTGTAGGTACAGTTAAATTATTCGGTGAAGATGGGGGTTTTAATGATGAAGAGTCGGAAAGAGGTCTTTTATGTTTTTCGATTGGTGGAAAATTAAGAGTTTCAACGAATGAGTTCTGTGTTGGCGAGGGAGGTTCGGTATTTTTAGACCAATCCATAGTTGTATGGTCTTGCGATAGCTCTACGTTAGGCATTAAAGGTGGAAGAATATCATCAATTTGTTCTACAGCTGTATCTTCGTGTGTGTCTGTTTCGATTGGGCAGGGCCGTGGAGAGAACTTAAGGGCCCCATGGACAAGCCAACCTGGGCCCTTCTCAAACGAGGTATTAAACTTACCACTGACATCCAGTGACGTCCTTAGGAATGTGTATACCAAAGAGATAATGTAAAAATATTAAACAAATTATGATTTATGAATTATGATAATATGTAAGTGTTACACAAATTTCGAGACATAAAAATATATTATTCATTATTCAAAACTTTGTAATTTTATTGTTATGTTGGTTTAAGTTTTGTGGTATAAAATATTTAAAAGCCAAAGTGGCAAAGTCATATACTAATATACTAACACATATAATATGGTACAAAGTAATTATTATATTAAGTTGTATTTATAAGAGTTTTAAAAAATAGCTTTTCTAGCTTTTTTGTTTGCAAAAGTATCGATAATGCTATTATAATCCAATTGTCTAGCAAGATCAGGTTCCATAGCAAGTGTGCCCAAACTTGAAAGTCGATTTTGAGCCATGGTTGATCGGAGAAAGTTCTTTACTCTTGCTAGTGTGCTGAAAGATCTTTCTGCTTCAGCTACAGTCACTGGCAGTGTGCAGAATAACCTCAGAGCAATACATACATTTGGAAAAATGCTTTTCAGTTTTTGTTTTTCTAGTGTGTTAAGGAGATTAAGAGGTGAAAGGTCATTTTTGAAGTTAGCTGCCTGAATTGATTTCAAGTGATTAATTTCTTCCACCAGATCTCTAGAAACGTCACTGCTATACAAATTGACAAATGTGTTTGATTTTTCAGCAAGTTCTGCAGTTGAAAATTTTGGAAATTTCCATAGAAAATTAAACATTTCATCTATGTTTCGAACAGCAGTGTACCGTACTGTAATATTGGCTATCACACAGTCAATTATAGTATAAAACACCTGCTTAATCTTCTCTTCTCGGTTGCAATCATCTACTTGAGTTGACCCATCAGCTAGTTTCTTTCTTATGGTACGTTTTTTTGGAAAGGTTATTGCACTATTTATATTTCCACCAACAAGCTTACACTCTTCCAAAATCATTTCCCAGTTATTTCTTAAATGTGTCAAATCATTTATCAAGCTGTCTAAATTTTTCACTTCCACGTCAATTGTACATTTTCTTGTTTGTAAGACTTTATTTCTATAGTCGATTGTGGTCAGCACTTTAAACCAAATAGAGGCCATAATTACACATTCAAATGAATCGGCATACTTGGAAAATCCCCTAAGATCATTTAAAGTTTCAGCAGTTAGATTAAGATTTTGAACCTCTTTGATCGCCTCTTTAATGCCTACTATGTTCATAGAAAATGGCTTGACACATTCAATTCTTGAAGACCATCTTGTATCAGACATGTTGTGAAGTGAACATTTCAGATGTCCTTGCAAGATTTCCCATTTCTGAGGGCTAGAACTAAATATATTATAACATTTTTGTAGATTTCCAAAAAATGTAATGGCCTCAACGCAACATTGAGCAGCTTCGACTCCGCACAGATTCAAACTGTGACAGGCACATGGTGAAAAAAGAGCTAGAGAATTTTCTTTCATAATTCGACTCTGCGCACCTTTATACTGTCCACTCATGTTACTACCATTGTCATATCCTTGACCACGGCAATCACTTAGTAGAATATGATGCTCAGCTAGAGTACTCCGGATAAGCTCTGCTATTGCCTCACCGGTTTTTTTGTTGCAATCTACAAAAGCAAGAAAACGTTCTTGTACTTCATACTCAGAACTCTGATCTGTGGAACATAAAGTCAGATATCTCAATATAAATACGGTCTGTTCTCGATGAGATGAGTCTGGAGTTGCATCTACAATAATTGAGTAGTACTTAGCATCTTCTCTTTCTTTCAAAATAGCTTGTGTAACATGGTTAGAACAACATTTAATAAATTCGTTTTGACTGTCAGGGGAAAGGTAGTGTACTTGCATACGGCTATGAGTTGACTGAGACTCTCTGACTTTACTCATATGCTCTTTCAACAAGGGATCATAATTACTTAATAACTCTAGAATACCTAAGAAGTTACCGTTATGTGGGTTCCCTACAAGATGACTGTCCCCTCTAAATGATAGGCCTCGTTCTCCTAGAAAAATCACTACATCTAAAATTCGGCGCAAAATTTGTCTCCACCTATCTGCTTCATTTTTTATATTATCACACAGCAACATGTCACAGTTGTTTTACTATCTATACGAGACTCCAGACAACGCCATTCTACATAACACATTTTGTGATTGACACTGTTTTCATAAGGTGTTATTCTATCATGTAATTTTTTCCACTTGTTGTCTGCAGAATATCCTTCAGGAGTTGACAACATTGATCTACTTGGTTGTGGTAGTTTACTAAATAACCTACACGGAAAGCAATACAGTGATTTTTTAATCTTACTCCATACAAGCCAATCTCTGCATATTTTTTCATTATTTTGAAGTGTATACGTTAAAACAGAACGAGGAAAAGCACGCCCTTCTTTATCTTCTGGGAAATAAGGTGGGTGGGGAGAAGGACCAGGAAGGACTGCCTGACTTATATCATCTTGTTTTAAAATTAAAAATTCAAACTGTCCTACGTCAAAATCGTAAGGCTTAGAACTGCCGGGATGTTTTGGATCTGTAATTGTAAATAAAGTATTAACAGTTTTAGATTTTTTCTCGTCAATATTAATGCTTGTAAATGTTTCGGCACTAGTTATTAACATAGAGCAAATAGTTCCCGGTTGGTCAGATTTGGTTGAGCTAGATGGATTTTGGTATGTTTGTAGTTTATCAACTATTGTACTAGGAATGATGGGAGAATTTTGAAATGTTTGAAGAGTTTCTTGATTTACAGAGGTTGGAGAATCAGTGAGTTTAGTAAAAAAACTTACATGGTCAAGAGTAGTTTGCCCCTTTTTTGCAGCTTTTTCTCGTAAGTCTCGTTCTTTTCTCTTTTTTGCACCTGATTTATGAATATAATCCATTGCAAAGACGCAGAGGATACGATTGACTAGGAAAGTTTTTTTTTTAAGTACTAAATAGTCTATTATACAAACACTATTATAATGTATAGTTATACACTAACACAGTAACACGTCATATCACATACGGTTTTATTTCACTACATAATAACAATATTACAAAGCTGTAGAACACGCCGCAGCCGGGACACGCACGTAAACTAACAAGAATACGTATAAGTATATAACGTGTGTGTGAGTAACAATATGCGTCGACGCGTTATCTTATCGGCAATCGCAGTTATTCCAGACTAAATAAAAATGACTATTTATAATCTATGTGTCTTTCTTGAAAATGTTATATAATATCTACGATTAACTTTAATATTGTAGTGTGAAAATTCACTTTATTGTCGATCTATTTTAATAATTATACAGCATACGCTAAAATTATAACTACGATTCATATTCGTGGTTTATAAATAGCTTGACACCGTGATCGATAAGAAGTGGATTTGGTCAGGCCCCGGGCCTTTTTTGAAGCCCGGGCCCCTGGGCTACAGCCCCGGCTGCCCCCCCCCCCCCTCGTCGGGCCTGCGATTGGGATGTGTGGTGGGTCGTTTTCGAAAATGTTTTCAATGTTTTTTTTGCAGTTGGATATTGTATGTCCAACAGATTTGCATAGGAAACAGGTTATTTTATCATCGGTGAAGAATATTCTGAATTGGTTTTCGTTTATGTTTATTAGCAACGAGCTCGGGAGTTTAAGAATGTCTACGTGGTTGAGGAACATTTGTCGTCGGAAACTCAATATGTGTTCGTAACCTTCCACATTTATGCCCGCTTTGAGTTGGTTTATTTGCGATATAGGGATTATACCGATATTTTTTAAGGCGTCTACGATTGCTAGATTTGGTATGGAGGGACATACATTTGTTACGTACCGTGTTATTTTACACATATATATTATACGGAGAGGTAACGCGTATACCGATGGGATAATATATTCAAACAGTGTAGCACCAACGGATAGGACGAACACCTGCACATCGTGATATTTAATATAATGATTAAGATTTGATCACACGTTCTGGACTTCTCAGAAATGATGAGTAAACGATAGTGTTAACATTGTACTATTTAATATGACAATTAAGACTTGATCAAACGTCTTGGATTTCTTAGAACCGATGAAATCGCAGGAAAGGCACCCAACTGAATAATACATTTAATTTAGAGAGCTCCTTTAGGTCATCGGAAGTCGCCACCTCCCCAGTCTTCACTCTTGACGGTTAACCATATATAAGGGAGACCGGAGCAAGAGCTCAGCAGACGGTTAGGGATATTCGAGACGCTCAGAGGCAGGTCGTAACACCACTCCCACTATCTTGTGCTTATAAAATTGTATTCTTGTACGAGTTAATTGTATTAAATAAAGACTTAATCTTTTAACTTGCAAACATTAGTATTTCTATTTCTACGTTGATATATGAATCGACGTTGACATAAGGGAAGCAACATGACTATAATATGAGATATATTTAAATATAATATGCATACATCAATTTCCTGTGTATTTTGGTATGTATTATAATTATTGAATAATTTAGAATAAAGAAATTCAATCAAATTTTAAATATTTTAACTTATATTTCCTTTAATTTTAGGTATTTCTTTAATTATTATCTTTTCACAAATACATTTTTTAAACATATAATATAACATATAATTTTTTTACTGCTCTAAGTAAATTTATATAAAAAAAAAAAACAATAACAAATATAATATTATTTTTTTTTTCTAAATGCTGCTCCAGCTAAATATATTTTTATTGGCATTTTAATATCCGCATTTGTCACTTCTTGAAAGTTTCTAATTCTTCGTATGGCTTCTAAAAAAGTTCAATAAAAATTATTACATGCTATGGTAAAAACATATAAAGTATATTTGGGACCAGCCTATTTTAAAAGGAAAGTAACAAAGATATAAATAAATTAATACTTCTTAAATTATTGATTGAGATATTGTGTGGTTTAAGTATTTAATAATCATGTTTAGCTAAATTAGTATACAGATTGACAAGACTGAACATTATGATAAAATTGTTTATTATAATTTAGGAAATTAAGAAGAACGTAATCACATTTTATAAAATCCTAATGCTAATTTAAAAAAAAAAGTAGATTATTCTTTTTTAAATTGAGTTGATTTTTCTTTTTTCTTTTTTATCAAGAAAAATTTAAGATTTGATAACTACTATAAGTATTAACATCTTAACTTAAGTTAACTATTTTCATTAATATGACCACTTTTGAAAAAATATTATATAACTTCAGATAATATAAGATCTAATTAAAATATATATATTATTACCAAATATAATAGCACAATTTGACCATACCCCTTATATTTATAAATATATTAATACATAATTATATTAAATTATTAATATAATAATAAACATTAATTATTTATTAAAGATTTATTTTAAATATATATTAAACGAATAATTAACATTATTTATAAATACTTTATATTAAATATTGATTTAATATATTTTAAAAATTGGATATTAATATTTAATTTTCAATGTTAATTAAATAAAAATAAATATTATATCTAAAATATTATTTTTTAAATAATAATATATTTTATTATAACATTATAAACATAATATTTATTTTTAAATCTAAACTAAATATTAATCAACCTTTATCATTGGAAATTGTTACTTGGGATTATATACCGTGATTTATTCAATGCGCTGAGATGTCCACAACGTCCGCGACAGTTAAATCCGTGTTCTGTCGACAGTCGTTCGTTCTTATTTGATTTCATTAAAAACAATATTAAATATTCTATTAATGAACATTATGAAGCCGCATTGAATGCAAGAATTTTGGCATATACTACTACATTAAATCGTAAATGGTCAGCGGTCAATCGTACTGCAAGTACATTTATTTCAAAATACGAGGGATGGTTAGATACTAAATTTGATTTGCCAAAAAAAGGAAAAAAAGCGGTTGATCTTCGTGGTCGTCCATCAAAGCCATTTTCAGACTTATCTGAAAGACCTAAAATTCGTAAAGTTAAACCATTAGTGGAGACAATATCACCAGATAGATTACTTCGTGCAACAAGAGTATCACTTTTTAAAAAAGGTAAACATGCAGCAGCCGATTTATTGAAAAAGTCAACTGAATACTCTCCAAGTCGTCCTGCAAAAATTAGGACAACTTTTCGTGAATCCTTAGGAAAAAATAATATAGTACCATATACCGTAGATGAAGCGCTGGCTCATATGGTTAACTGTCGTATGACAAAAAATGTGTATCACCAGACTCGATTAGGTTTAAAAGAACATTGGGTAAATGTGTATCCTTCATATGATCGAATACGTGAAGCAAAAAAATTGTGTTATCCTGAGGGTATAGAAATATATGAATTTGGTGTGTCTATACCTCTCCAAAGTTTATTGGACCATACGGTTAGACGAGTCTTCCAAACTTTCGATTTACCTGAGGATTTTAATTTTTTTGAAAAATATGTAAAGGCTGAGTTTATTTTTAAATGGGGGTGTGATGGAAGTTCTGGTCAAACCGAATATCATATCACCAAGCATTTACCCAGAATACAAATTTAACCCTAAATGATAATAGTGATGGAGATAACGACACTAAGCGAAAAATTTTGAAAACACCATTTACAGAATTACCATCCTCAGTAAAACAATTAATAATTATAGATAATGATGAAGAAACAGAAGATTCAGACATATGTTCTGATTCAGAATAACAATTTTTATTAAATAAATATTGTATCTATTTACCTATCGTGTTTTCACACAACTAATAGAACTAAGCTATTTTATTAATTTTCTTTTGTAAATATAAACCTATAAATTATAACATATTTAAAGCTATAATTAAATAAATATAATTTGATTTTATTATGAAATATATTTTTGTCGCGGTAAAACCTCAATTCCTCCGTAAGTCGAACATCATGAGATCCCAACTTTTCGAAAGTAATATAATATCGTCTAAGTACGTACTCACGACGCCGCGGCTAGGCGCGCCGTCGCTTTTCAGGTCCTTGAATACGATACTCATTAATTTCTGGAACGTCCCCGGCGCACCCTTGAGCCCAAAAGGCATACGCTCGAATTTCGCCGTCGTTTCTTCGGTGACGAACGCGGTTTTATTTTTGGCTTCGGGGGTAAGTGGTATTTGTAAAAATCCGTTAGACAAATCCAATGTCGTAAAGATCACGCTGTGCGCTAAGGCTCCGAGTTGCGAGTCAACGTCGGGCATCGGATACGGCTGATTCACGGTCTGTTGATTGAGGCGTCGGTAGTCCACGCACAAACGTTTTTCGCCCGAAGACTTATTTACGAGAAGTACCGGGCTGGCATAAGGTGAAGTCGAGTCACTTATTATTCCGGCGTCCCGTCATTCGTGCAATGTGGTGGCTATAATATGTCGGTCGGAAGGAGACGTTCGATACGGTTTCGAACTAATAGGCACGCTGCCTGGCGTTTCGGCTATGTCCATAGCGATGACGTCGGTACATCCCAACTCCATAATATTCTTCGCGAACGCATCGCGATATTCGTTAAGCAACGCGACTAAGGTTTCGCGTTGAGCAGCGGACACGTGCGAGTCGATTACGACGTCGTTTACGGTTATTGGGACTTTCGTTGGACGGACCGGTTCCGTTACGGCGACGTATACCCTATCGTCGGGGTACGATACGTCGAGCACATCGGTTTGCACGCGGTTTAACGAATCGAAAACTATCTCACCTCCCTGCTTGGAATAGTTTACATGAGGTAGGTCGAGCCAGGTTCGACCATTCAACACGTCTACTGGAATCGAGCTGTCCGATACTATTTTAATCATATGATCAACTGCTAACCATAGGCGTGCGCAGGGGGTATGCAAGGTATGCAGCTGCATACCCTAAAGCTCATTGAGAAGCAAAAATCGTTTTTAGAAAAAAAAACTTTTGTGCGCAAGAAA